TTAAAACTACGGGCTATCAGACGCACACACTCAAATATATATATATACATACATTCACACACACGCACTTCGGGCAAGACAAATTGGTCTTTGGTAGACTCCACTTAAGGCGGCTCTACATATTTTCCTTTCGCAGTTGCCTAAAGGCAATGCGAACAAAGTTAAGGAAAAATCCATATTTTATTTTGATTATTTTCCGGCGTCTGTCGGCAGGTGTCGATTTCTTGCGACTGTGTGGGTGAAATTAAATTTAGCCTCCCACACACACACACAAATTGAGGCCTTTTCTTTCGGTGTCAATCAATTTCGCTCGTCAGACAAAAACAAGCCCACAAAAATGTCGCCAGTAATGGGAAAAATTATTGAATTTGTCAACGACTGCCACAGGGCGACCAAGAACAAAAATGTTATAGAAGCGTGCTGTAATCTAATCTATTTGCACTAGCACCTACCCTGTAAATATATATGAATAGTCTTGCTGAAATATAAATTCATAAATGCCAAAAATAAAGAATTTTATTTTATTATCGATTTATTGTCCATCAATTTCAATATTTATACAGAATTAAGAGAGCTTTCAAGCAGGACAAGAATGTCTTAAAAAAGTTCTTATTGCTGTAGTGGGAACTACGAAATATTGGTTGAAGAAATCGATAAATATCGTTACTATATTTCAAATGTATCACTTTTCTTTATCAGAATTAATTTATAAATAAAAATATCAATTTATTGTATTATATTTAACAGTTATGCTCAATTATTAAAGTTCGATATTTATTGATTAAAAATAACTTTTTAAAATATATATTTTTTAAAAACAGCCGTAGGCACCTATTTCAAAAATTACAGGGTACAAATACGTTTAAGCTACAGCTTTAAGCCGCACATAGCTTTAAGCTGAGGATTTATGCGACTTCGCATAGGTGTCAGACAAACAAAATTATGTTTGAAAACGATTTTGTACCTTGGCAGTCATACATCATCGGGCTGGATGTGAGATGAGAGGAGAGCGGGTGTGGAGCTGAGGGTAGGGGGGATTACGCTTGTAGGTAGTTGGGGCTGTTTGGCAACCCTCCCAAGTGTAACAACCCTCAGCGTTAACAAATTTGTTTGCGACGTTTTTAAATTTTCCCAAATACACACAAACTGGGGAGCTAATGTAAATTGTGAGTGTGTGTGAGTGTGTGTTATGCTTGGGGTAGGTGAGGGGCCGCACCTTATTTAGTCAAGCTAACCTAACGGTGCCCGAACCAAGTGATTTGTTGACAAAGAAATTTTTTAATAATTCACAAGGCGGCAAAAAAATGGAAAAAATCTCATTCAGCATAAATGATGATGTAATTTTCGCTAAAAATTGAAAAAATCTTCAAAGTGGGCGGCATGGCCAGGGTGGGTACATAAAATATGTTGCAACAATCTGTTGGCGTGTGTTGCCACTGACGATGATGAATGTTGCACGCATGCGTTGCACTGATTTGATGGACGCACGGACGAAGGAACGGTTCTGACAATCTTGTCACGGCGCGCTGTTGACTCCCGCTTGAGTGCGCTCTCAATCCCTGCCAGAAATGGAGTAAGTTGAGAATCAGCTGGCCGAAACGTGCGAAAGCCCAATGAACTCGGAATTGACTTGAGCTGTGGGCTAGGCAGCTCTTTACTTGAGTTTAGCAGTGCTGCCATCTGCTACTGAAGATCTTGACTTCAGCTTCAAAGTGCTGCCATCTGCTGCTGAGGATCTTGCCTTAGCTAAGCAAGGTATGGACAAAACCCCTGTGGAAGTTTTACCAATGACTCCAACTGCTGCTGTTAGCTCTTAAAGCTGCCTCCAGTTGTCTACCAGTGTTGCCACCTAACAAAAAACAACTGTACAGCAGAATATGGATATATGGAGATAGCTTCAACACTGACTCGAGCCTTATTAATGATCGCTTTCGTTGCAAGTTAAACCTCCTCAATTCTGCTGTAAGTTAACAGGATAACCAGCTTGCCAGGATATCCGTCACAGCTAAGAGATTTGAGGTAAGAGAAGTATTGCCACCAGCTACAAAGGGCCTTTGCTTGACTATAAAACTATTGCCACCTGCTACCAAAATCTAACTAGTTATAGTTTATAATTGTAGCTCGCCTGCTCTATTCACATCAACATAATCAGTAAGACCCTATGAAAGCTGACTGCCTTCTGGTATCCGATGCCAATCCATTCTCAGCTAATGCCCGCAGCATGCTTTGTGGACTCAACTATTAGTGACTCTTCAACTGCTTATTGTCGCATCATTTCAGGACGATTTTTTCCCGATATTTTTCGACGTTCAATTGCCAACCCTCCCAGATTTAATGAAGCACATGATGTCAGACGGTCTCTTCAACGAGGGGCCGCATAGTTCTAACAGGCACATTGATAGTTGACCGCAAGCTCAGTTCATGTACGAAAGTGTACATTGGGTCTGTCGTAATGCTCATGGCTCATTAGTTTCCGCCTAATTTGAGTTGCAGGCGGCTTGTCCGTCGGCCTTGGTCGTCTAATGGAATTCAATCAATTTTCATTTATTTCGATTACGGAACTCGCACCACCAAACAAATGGAGCTAGCCACTTCCTACGGGCCCCCTCTGCGCCGGCAAGGACCCAACCAAAACCATTTTGTGTCTGCAAATGGGCACTGAAAAATTTCTTAATTATCCTGACGTGCCGCCTGTGTGGAAAAGCAGACGAAGGCGAAGGCAAACACGAAGCAGGAGGAGCAGGCGCTGGTTTACATGCTTCATCAACATTTTGGTTGTGTTCTCTTAATGTTCCTCAGACAAAGCAAGACAAATGAGCAGGCATATCAAATACATAAAATAAATATCATTAGAGTACAAGAAAATGCTACTTTGAGAAGCGCTGAGAGAGGCGCAAAGCAACGCCTTAAATTTATAATAATAGGCGTATTACAATTGGAATTAGAACATATTAATACAGAGCAAGCAAAATTATTTACACAAAATACGCCGCTTTGAGAAGCGCAAAGAGCGGCGAATGTACGAAACATGAATATATTGAAGTATATAAAAAAAATTTATTTATAGAAAAAAATATATGAATATTAAAAATGTCACCATGAGAAGCTCTAAGAGAGACGCAGAGCAGCCGAAAAGCTTCTTTGATTCGATCTCCCTATCTGCCGCATCATTTCATATTGTAATTTGCCAATGCGTCTCCTTTTCGGTCCATAATGATGTTGTGCAAAACAATATGCCACAAATGTCGATGCGGCAAATGAAATGAAATATCAAAAAGAAAACGAAAACAAGAAAAAAGCTGACTAAAAAGGAAATAAATGTAATGAAAAAAGGTTTTAGCGATGCTGGTCACTGCGCATAATATGCTTATCAAAGGGTTGCACAGGCTACCCTACAGCACGGGCTATCCTGAGACTCCTATCCAACCCTAACTATAAGAGCTCCGTCCAAAAAAATAAACAAAGAAGTGAAAATTTGATTTGCATTTTCTTGTGCAAAATGAAATTAAATTAAATTTCCCTCTTATCATTTATTATTTTCCTTTGGCTTTTCCTTCTTTTATATTAAAACAACAAGCCGCAAGATTCATTTTGATTTAATTTTATTTTTAGAAAACTACCCAACGAATGCTGCGTTGCCCAGCAACAGGTAACACTCAAAGCACCTGCTGTCAGACAATGCAATGCAAATGATTACATAACAGTTATCTGTCCAGCTAAATCACATATGTGTTATGCATATGTCTATAGCAAACACAAGTTCATTAAAAAAGGCCAACATTCAAAAACAACATGAATGTGAGATCTTTTTTGAAATAGCTAGCCGAATCTCGTATACCCTAACAGAAACTGTTTTATATTTATTATACACTTTACTTAATTTCTAGTCTTAACATTAAATGAGAGATGCACAGAAGCCCATATACTTCTTTTAGTTTGAGAAGGATCTTACGAAGTGCTCTTCTCTGTGATTCTCACACATATACATTCTATATATATCTGTCTAAAGCTATTCATATACGTATCATAAGCCCACAACTTCCACAACTTCCATTGAATGTTACAAACTTAGTCTCAATCTGAATACGACCTCGATTGGCAGGCAGCAAGAGGACCCAGGCAACAGGCAGGAGGGACATCAAACAAATCTGTAAGTGAAATCTGCCTGCCCATGGGCAATAAGCTCAGGTTGGGGAGCCCCAGACTAAGAATTGAACTCTGCCACTCGCAATACCCGATGCGCGCCTCAATTATAATGAGAAAAGCAAACGAATTGGGAATAATTTTCAATTCACTTGTTTCCCACCTACGTTCGTGGCTCCTTTTTTGGTTTTATTTTACTTCTTATTTTCGACAGCGATCCTCAGATATTTACGCGCCCTTTGTTTTCACTATGTGTATCGTACACTGGAGCCAGTCGCATTCATGTGAAACCAAAGCGGAGGATGCCTTCAGGCGGTGAGCTTCTTGGGTTTGGTTAGCTCAGCATAATAAAGATGTTAATTTTTGCGGATTTGACGTGTGGGCGTGGCTTGCCTGGAAAGGATGTTCACATAAGAGAGAAAGTGAGAGAGAAGAGAGGGAGATAAGAGCAGCAGATAAGGAATACCTTAAAATTTATAAAACAAAAAACGTTAAAGAAAATGTTAAGCTTCAGCTATATGCCTCATGTGTCTAGCATCTGAGCCGTGTCCAAAGCATAGGTAGACCCACACACATTCATATAAATGTTAACTTAGGCCTATATAAATATGTATGCCTAACGGGTAAGTTCTAGTCAGCAATGCCCGACTCGGCGATACCCGGAACCCCGTCCAAGCTGCACTTCTGAACATACTTCTCATCCTAGAAATATACCCCGAAAGCTGTGCCGTATGAAATCCAAGCTGAAGCTCTTATAGATATATATATAGCAAGATTAACAATTACTAAAAAAAGATTGAAAGTTTATTAAAAATTTACTGAAATCTGACAAAGGTTTTTGGAATTAACCTGCTAAATGTGTAATTTTCATTTGAATTGGTCTTCAGTATGTTTTCCGTGAGTTCAGGAATAGTCAAACGAAGAGTCACACTGCTTAAGCGTGGGCGCTGACAAATCCTTGGTCTTGTGACCCGAGGGAAATTTGTAGAGCATGGCGTGACGTAATGTCGAGTTTTTCTTAAAGTTCTTTGTGTTATCAAAACTATTTCCTGCTAGTCCGTAATCTGATGAAGAGTTTGTCCACTTCGATGGCACATCTGGGGATTTGGCCTGGTCTTGTTGATTTGTTGTAGCTAGGTCCGGCGAGTCCTTGGGCACGACTGTGACCTTGCGACCCTGCCCAAAGTTGACATTCATCAATAAATTATAGTCGCCAAATGTAGATGGCTTTGATGGAGCTGTTGAATCAGCTGTAGAATTCTCCATCTGGCCAAATCTGAAGCACATTGGACGCTTGAATTGTTTTATGTCGCCCTTCTCCGAGTGCAGTGAAACATCAGTCGAGGACGTCTCCATCAATAGGTGTTTCGTGGCCTGTGGCTCCACAGATTGACCAGGCTGGTCATGATCCTGGAGCATATTCTTAGGCAATTCCCAACTCATGGGCCGCTTGGCCAACTTGACTTGCAACGGCAGGTGGCCATCAACCAGCAAGAAGTCATTCATGGCCGACATTGCCAAATCAGCCGCGGATCTTAGCTCGTAGCGCACAAAGGCAACGCCACGTGATTGACCCGTGAAGCGATCCTTGAGTAGGTTTAGGTCAAGTATCTTGCCATAACGTTCGAAAAGGGCGTGCACCTTGGCTGCGTCGTAGTCCACTGGTAAATTGGCCACGTAGAGCTTGGCATTCTTAATGTCTGCAGAGGCGGGACGGGCAAACGACACCTTCAGTCTCTTGCCGCGCACCTGGCGCCCGTTCACCGAGATCAGAGCCAAATGGGCTTGCCCCGAGTTCATGTAGTTAACGAAGCCATAGCAATGGCTGGCGCCCGTTTCCGCATCTCGTATGATTTTCACCTGCTTGAGCTGCCCAAAATTCTTGAACATCTTGGTCAGCTCGCGCTCCTGCATGTCGAACGGCAAATAGTTAACCAACAAATTAGTCCCCTCGACCACTCGAGGGCCGGCGGACGAGCCACTCGTCGTGGCCATGTAATCGGCAAATACTGCGTCCTTGATATTAGCCATTGATTTCGTTATGTGTGTGCTACAGAAAATAAACAAAATATTACAAATAACTTTGCTCTCTTTCTCCCTCTCTTTCCGTCTGTCTGTCTCTTTCCCTCTCTCTATCGAACTTACATAAACCTCAAAAGTGATCTTAGAAATAAAATCACAAAGCGCAGCAGTAATTGGATACCGTTTTTATGCATTCTCATTTCACTTGACAGGTTTCGTCCACTACGCAGCGCGTTTGCCAACACTGGTTGCCAAACTGAATGCAGTGCATGCAACATCCGTTAATCGATAACTTACTTTTCAAACTATCGGCAGAGCTTTCAGTGCATAGTTTTATGCACTTAACGGGAATCGATGATAGGCAGCAAAAAAGTATCGCACGATTGGCCTGCTCTAGTCGGGAGTGACCGACTAAAACAAATCCACGAATAGAGTAACTTCTAAAATTTTAATTTTTATTTTAAGAAAAAATATAAAGCAGAATGAAAATCAATTTGCTATCTTCGATTATGGAAGAATGAAACAAGAAACTTTGCGCAAATATACAGATAATCTAAATGCGGATACTTCAACTTTTTAAAGTATATCATATGAATATAATAGCATAAATAAGCGACTTGAATATGTGCGATGGAAACAAGAGATTGATTATTATCAATTAATGCATACAAAATTTATCAGCAAGCTCTTTGAATAATTCAAGCTCTTATATATTCAGATCGATGAACCTTAAGTGCTCAATCGACTTGACTATTTAGTCTGATCTAGAATAAATATATTTCTATGGTGCCAATAAGCCAATATAAGCCAATCGATATGGCCCTAATATTTATTTTAATGTTAAATTGATTAGCATTAAACAAATTTTGAGTAGTATTTTTACCACTGACAGTTGAATTGTTATCGATTCGATGAAAATGATATCGATTAGTATAGAAACTTTGACCAAAGTGCCTTAAGCTCTAATAAATCTATTTCAATTGGTTTGCGCAACAAAAGACTTCTTTTGATTTAATATATATATATACATATACATAAATATATATATATATTAACATATTCACAGCATTGCGTGCCAAGCTAGAATGAAACGGCTTTTTGAGGACCAGAAAAACAGGAGTAAAACGCAAGAGCTGCAAAAGGTAACACAAACCGCGTTTTTTCAGCTGTTTATTTATTTGTTTGCTGATTATGGAATTGTTAAGGACACGAAAAATGCCAACGATTTCAAGGCTTGCCTCATGCGCCAGGTACATTAATTGGAGCAGGTGCAAAATTAGGGGGAAAACGAAATAAACTGAAAGCGCGGTAAAGTGTAAAGCAACGCTATATAAAATAAATAACGAACGATGCACCTATGAAACGGTTGAGAAAGCAGAACTTCCAGGGTATTAGCGCCTCGTTGCCGTTGAAGACGAAGGAAAAGCTTTTGCGCATTGTCTGAGTTTTCATATTAATTAATTTCCATTTCCGTTTGCCGTTTTCCGTTATCTTGCGCACGCCGATTTTTACCTTTATGCAGACTCAGCAATTAATCAAGTTTAATTACGCCCCAACGTTTGGAGTTAGCCAGGCCTCCACATAGGGATTCTAGCGAACATTGGCTGCATTAATCACTCGAATATGCCCGAGCATTCCGCATGTGAGCGAGGAAAGCGCGGCGCGGTATCCCATGAGATAAGCATGAGAGTCTCATAAAGGGCACGTCTCACGTAAACAATGCATTTAAATATTTGCCAGGATAACGACCCATTGTCAGATCATTTAATGGCCCCAACTGAAAAATACGCTCGATATACGTTTTTAGCTAAGTCACATTAGCCACTTAGGTTCCACAGCAGTGTCACGGCTTAGCGAATGCGACAACCATTGCAAGCTGACATATTCTGACTGCTATAACTGGTTGGTCAGCAGTGAAAATGAACTGTGGAGCCTGTGGACTCTTTTTAAAATTCAATAAGTATAATTCATTTAATACCCTAGGATTTCGTTGGTATATAAATAAATATGTATATATATATAAATAATTTCTAGTAATTAGAGTTCACTTTTCCAAACAATATCGCTTTTACAATAATAAAGACACAACAATCAATTTAAAATAAAAAAGACAAGCAAACGAAACGCCCATAAATACATATACAAAAATGTATTTGTTTATTGAAATAAAATTACATTTGTGAAACGTCTCTAAAAATATCGTTGCAATTAATTCAATTTATTTGCTCTCTAAGCTTAATTTATCTCACTTTTATGCACAAAACTTTAATTCAAGGATTCTCCATATTAATGCACACACACAGACAAACACACACGCATGCTCATGCGTGTCAACTGATGGCGCGACCTCCAGCTTTGCATCTAATTGGCCGGAACATTGTGAATGCAAACAATTCACAGCTGCAATTTAATAACAATGAAACACAATTTCGGTGTTTCAGAACCAATTGAGACGATCTTTGTATGCGCAATTTGAAGATATCTTAACATATGGATTGCCTAGCTGGGCATTTCCCCCACAGACACTCACATACATTTATATATACATTCCACATGGCATTGCTGTCTGTCAAAATTGCCAAAAACAACAATAATGGCAACTACAATAACAACAGATGTTCGAAGCTGCGCGAAAAGGTAAACGAGTTGCGCTCACGAATATATCGAAAGAGAGCGAGAGAGCAATGTAACTGGTTGGTTTCTGCTGTGTGTTTGTGTGCGTGTAAGTATGCTTATGTGTGTGTGGGAGGCATGTAACACTGACTATGACCTCAAACCACCCACAGTTACAATGCAGGCAGCTTGCGCTGCCAGCGTCTCTGGCGTCAACTGCGGCTTTGCATTTTGAAGAAAAGATTTTGCATTTGCTGACGTCACAAGCAACAAAATATTATCGCTTCGTTTGCCAATGTTTGTTGTTGTTGTTTCTTGTTTGTTGTTAGTTGGATGTTGGTTTAGCTGCTTGTTGTTGTGCCCACAAAAGGTGCGCTTACAATTTTCTCCACTTTCTACAAGAAAAATGTGAGAAATCAAAAAGATGCCACCGCTTTGTCTTCGTTTTTATAAGTGTGCGTGTGAGTGTCTATTGGCGTGTGTGTGTGGCGGCCACAAAAGTTCACTGAGAAAGCAACATGAGACTGGGCTAATGTTGAAATGAAAATAGACCGCAATTTATTGATAAAATCAATCAAAATGTAGCGCTGATAAGTCTCCTCTCTGTGTACTATTTATTTATTTTGTTCACTTATACAATGGCAACCCTTTCAGAACAGATGGCTGGCTGGAGTCCAAAGGCAGCGCAGTAAATGTTGGCGGCGGCATTCAATTGATGCAAAGTGGATTGAAGAACGTCGAAAGAAAAAACGTGCGTGGTTTCCATTGTCGATAGGCCACGGGGATGCCTAGTTTTGAGGGGGGCACTCAACAAGACGTATTTTCATGCTAAAAACGTTCCAAATGTTTGTTTACAATTTACAACAAAATCTTCACACACATGCGCATACGAGCGCACACTCGGCAAAAGAGAGAAAGAGAGAAGCAGCTTAAATTCTGAATGGGAGAGCAGCAGTGAGAGTGAGTGCCGATCGAATAAGTAGTGAATGAGTATCTGTGTTGATCTCTTGTTGTGATTAACGGCCTGCGTATACGTATGTAGTGTAAATGTGTGTGTATAATATTGTGGGGGGATGACATCACCGTACGTTGCTGTCGCAAAGTTCGCACTATAACATTTTTTATCTCCCTCTCTCTTGCTAAATTTTTCTGCTCTCTAAGTCTGTTGAAGACGCCAACGTACAGTGCTTGTGAACATATATATGTATATATATGTGTGTGTGTGTTTCTTCGCGAAGAGTACAGTGGGTTAATATACATAAAATATTCGATTTTTATGATATAATTAGACATATAAAAATACATACAAAATGATAAACAATTTAAAGTGATAACATACATAATTTATTGTTTTTATCAGTATTATTTATAGTATTTTAATTATTTCACTCAGTGCAACAAGTAACAATGTAGCGTCGAGGGTAAGCATTGTAGCACTGTGCACTTGCACGTAGGCATAACAACAACTCAAACGGATTCAATAGTTGACCAGCAAGAGAGCACACGTGAGAGTGAGAGAGAGAGAGAGACCGCGTGTGTGCTTGTTTGAGCTTACGCCAACGCCAACTTTTATTTTTTTACGTTTTACGCGCTCTGGCTTGCTGGCTGCTGCATGCATGTATGTGTGTCTGGCTCTCTGCTGTGAACCTGGGGGTCTCTCCATGTTCAATCAGTCGTTCGGAATTCGCGAAACTATGCGGTCGGCGTACGAAGATAGCGCTGCCGTATCCACGGATAGCAACAAATACCACACCAGCTATAGCTATAATAGCCAAACGAATAATAATAACAATAATTACCATAAAAACTATAATGGCAACGGCAATGGTATACCCTATCACGCGCGCGAAAACTCATTGCCCTTTAGCTATGGTAATGCCAAAGCAGCGACGCCGCTGCGCAAAACGCCAACACCGACGCGCGCCGATAGTTTTCTCGACTTCGATTTTGGATTGAGCAGCAATAACAATATCAGCAATAATAATAATAATAATAATAACTATAATAGTAGCAGCAGTACGGGCAGTGATATGATAAAGCCGCAGCCACGTTTAACCAGCCCGCTGCTGGTGCGCAAAACACTAGGCGGCAGCCGTTCAAATACAAATGGCAACACAAATGGTTCGAATACAAATACCACCATATCGAATACCTATCATTATGGGTCGGCAGCGGGTGTAACGCCGCCGCGGGTCGATTTGGAGCAACTGCTGGGCGAGCGACGTGACAAAGTCTACAGCGAGTTTCGACTGCGTGAAAAGGAGCGTGAATTGGAACGTGAATTGGAACGTGCTACGGCACGTGTGCCGCCCACGCCGCCACAGCGACGACAAAGCAACGGCCCCAACCACAACAAATACAATTATGATTTTGAATTCAATCTAAATTTGAACGATATTCACGATCGCAGCTCGCTGCCAGCGCCAGCGCCAGCGTCAGCGCCCTACACTACACGGAATATAGAATTTAGACAGGATATGGATGTGCCGGATGGTGCGATCGGTGGCAATAGTCGGCGCTTGGAGTCCACAATTGTGGAACGCAATTATCACACAATTAACAACAGCAGCCGCAACATCAGCAGAAGCAACAGCTACAACAATTACAACAGCTTGGAACGACCTCCAATGGAAGTGACATACAAACAGC